GTTATACAATCCCGATTCTGCAGGATAGCCGTCGGAGCACCATGGTTCCAGAGGAACGTGGACCTCCACGATGACCTGGAGCTCGACCCCGTCAGTAAGTATCTACAGTCGGCATCGCTGCGCCACTTTGAGAAGGCGGCACGACATGAGAACCCTCTTGTCGTGGCCGCCGGAAACTACATACCCGATCCTGTAGACCGTTTGGTAAACCGTCGACGTCGCCCAAAGCACGTCATCACGGATCCTCCTGATCCACTAACGGTGCTTTTAGGCAATACAAGCACCGGTCACCGTCCTCGCCGAACCCGTCGCTTGCGACGAAGGGCTCGACGAGCGAATTAACCCACAGACACAGCCCACTGAGTTTCTCGCCGGATCTTCTCAGTGGGTCGCGCTTCCGATCCGGTGGTAGATTCTGCGAAGCACTGCTCTTGCTAGGGCGGTGTTAGCAATTCTCCGGTTTGAGCCCCGCGAGCTCACCTACACAAGCTAGGGTACGCTGAAATAGCCTCTCAAGGCTATCAGCATAGGTAGGAAAAAAAAAAAAAAAAAAAAAACTTGAACTGTCCGTCAAAGGCTAAGCTCTGAACCTATCGAGGTCAGGTCACCGTGACGTCATTACGTTAAGACACTCGTCCATTGACACAAAAACGGTGCGTCTACACATTATAAAACAGTTACACTACTGTCTTAAAATAGTATAAGTTTTAGGAACGCCCACTTTAAAAGTAATGTCAGGGATAGTGTAATGTCAGCCCTCACTATATTGTTAGCTTATCTACTCTACTCTTGATGTGCCAAGTTAATGTCAGGCATATGAGGATATTTCTTGTTCTCATGTTAAAGTTTTTTTTTTTTTTATTGCTTAGATGTGTGGACGAGCTCACAGCTCACCTGGTGTTAAGTGGTTACTGGAGCCCATAGACATATACAACGTAAATGCGCCACACATCTTGAGATATAAGTTCTAAGATCTCAGTATAGTTACAACGGCTGCCCCACCCTTCAAACCGAAACGCATTACTGTTTCACGGCAGAAATAGACGGGGCGGTGGTACATACCCGTGCGGACTCAGAAGAGGTCCTACCACCAGTAATTACGCAAATTATAATTTTGCGAGTTTGATTTTTATTACACGATGTTATTCCTTCACCGTGGAAGTCAATCGAGAACATTTGTTAAGTACATAAATTCATTAGAAAAATTGGTACCCGCCTGCGGGATTCGAACACCGGTGCATCGCTACATACGAATGCACCGGACGTCTTATCCTTTAGGCCACGACGACTTCAAAAGTATGTTAATACTATGTCAACCACACTGAATGTCTAGAAGTTACGGGACATTGACTTAACGTCTACGTTTTTTCTTCCTCTTAAATTCTTGGTCTCCCCCTTAATCCCAATCTTGAGTTCTTGTCGTATTTCAAACATCACACGCAACTAGTGCGATAGTTATGACTCCCAATAGAAATCCCATTCGATTATATTATTGTGATATTAAATCGTAAATGCTCAAGGAGTCGTAACTGGCCCCGGCTCTAGGATCTGTAATCTCAACACGTGCATTTACTTTTGTTTTATTTTAAGTAACCTAAAATGTAGAATATGTTTCATTAACATGGTATTCATTCATTCATTATTCAGGTATTATTACATTGTTCATATTTGTATGTATATTTATAAAGATATATATATTTAGTATTTGTGTATATATGTCTATGTATATGCTTATGTGTGCATGACGTGTAATTCGTTTCCAAATGATTTTTGTCCACCTGATGGTTGTCTAGAAGAGGTCGCTCTTAGCGATAATAACCGCCAATTGTTTTTTTTTTTTGTATTTAATGTTTCGCGTTGTTAATTTTTTTTTTTGCTTTACAATAAAGAATGCTCTCTCTCTCTCTAACTCCCTTATTCATTTAATAGGATATTAAAATGTCTTGTGTATTTTAAGCGTCTTTATACGTAAAGATTGCAACGTGCGTGTCGTGTTTTCGCGTCAGTAGATAGTGACCTTAAGGGAACATCACTTCACGATTATCGCCAGCGTTCTATCAATGCGATTTAATGGTGCGAACGATTTGCGTGTCTCGTTACGTGTCTTATATACGTGTTTTGTGATTTACTTGGTTATTGTTAGCTTGTTTTATGTGGTTATGTATCGAAATGAATTTATTTATTTTGTTTATTGTATGTATTAACGACAGGTTTATATATTAAAAATAAACAACAAAAACCTTTTTACTGGTGGTAGGACCTCTTGCGAATCCACGCTGGTAGGTACCACCACCCTGCCTATTTCTGCCGTGAAGTAGTAATGCGTTTCGGTTTGAAGGGCCTGGCAGCCGTTGTAATTATACTGAGATCTTAGAACTGATATCTCAAGGTGGGTGGCGCGTTTACGTTGTAGATCTCTATGGGCTCCAGTAACCACTTAACACCAAGTGTTCTGTGAGATCGTCCACCCAATTAAACAATAAAATAAATAAAAATCCTTACCAACACCCCTCTTAACGAGCGCGTGCGCTAAGCCTCAATTCGCAAACTATGAAGAACAGCTGTCAAGGCTATAATAAAAAAGGATTCCACATGACCACGACTGCTCTGCCAGGATTAACCAATTACGATGATGAACGACAGGTCTAAAATTGACAGAAATCTCATTGTCAGTTTGTTTTATTTACACTACAATGGTATTAAGCTTAAAATACCTTTTTAGTGCTTAGAATACTCCACTTTAACTGTATATGCGCACAATACTACCAACAAAAAAACAAGCGGTCGTACAGCACTACCGCCGCACAAATTTCTCTCGCAACCACCTTACGTATAACACCCTACCTGTGCATCGTCATAGCCGTTATTTTAAAATATAATTTGGAAGGAAACAATAAAACATTCATTTCTTTCGTACACCACTGCTTGCCTCCTCTTCCTCGCCAACACTAACTCTTCTTGTGGACGTCGTAAAAGGCGCCTAAAGAATTCACCGGAGAAAGAGCTGTGGCGTTCTCCTAATTTATACTAATACACTTCGATTGCCAAGCTTTTAGTGGTGGTAACGCGAATTGTAGGTCTACACGGGTAGGCACCACTAAACTGTTTATTTTAGCCGCGAAACAGTCGTGCGTTCTGATTGGGAGGTTAGCCCTGCATTGCAATGTTAATAGGTTCGAGTAATAAATTAACACTAAGCTTACTTTTTTTTTTATTGCTTAGATGGGTGGACTAGATCACAGCCCACCTGGTGTTAAGTGGTTACTGGAGCCCATAGACGTCTACAACGTAAATGCGCCACCCACCTTGAGATATAAGTTCTAAGGTCTCAGTATAGTTACAACGGCTGCCCCGCCCTTCAAACCGAAACGCATTATTGCTTCACGGCAGAAATAGGCAGGGTGGTGGTACCTACCACCAGTTACTGTTATAGTGTTTACAGTTTATTTACCAATTTTATTAAATAAATAAATAAAAAATCGTGAAATTTTATATTTGAATTTTCCTCGTATACGTTCGCGAGTGCTGGCGTCGAAAAACCAGCTAAGAAATATATTGACATTATTAATGACACGGTCGGCAGTCGTGTTTGTCAGTTTGTCCGGTATTTACTCTTGCTCGTTATTAAATTGAAAATATCAAGTATGATGATTATTTTATCGCAATTCTCGGCAAGAGAGTTAAAATATCGGATATGTCGGATGGTATACAGTGACTCATTTCTGATGACCATGAGCATCGGCTATCACTTACCATATATGGACCATACATATCATCTTTGTTTATTAAGCCAACAATCAAAACATCAACTTCTAAAATCCAGCATTTCAATTTGCGGTTAGTTCTAATGTATCATAGACACATAATAATATGTGGCAATTTCTAGGTAAATTGTGCAAATTACTAATCGAAACATATACTAAATATTCTCGAGACATAATAACCTACATCCTATCATTTGTTATATGCATATATAACAAATGATACATATAGGTATACTATAATACTATAAATAATATTATGTATATATTATAGGGCGGTTTTTTTTTCAAATCGAATGCTTCTGATGTTGCAAATTCTTTTTATATTCTCGTAACAAAACATTCGTAACAAAAACTTTCTTTTCAAAACTAAAACTCGCAGCGATTGCATCGATTACGGCAAACAAACACGTTCGGCGCATGCGCGTGCTTTCGTAGTAAACATGGCATGGAACGCATTAGATTTCGCGCCTTCTCTATAATGAGAAATATAAAAAGATAATATTGTTTTTGATTACATTAATTTGTTCATTGAATAAAGTTAGATTACTGAATTACAGCACTTTCACTTACCGTCGGATCGAACGTTTTGAAATAATACGTATTTTAATTATTACTAGTAATCCCTCTGTAGTCGAAATTCGACTATAATTAATTGAAATTATAAGTTGGAACATTATTAAGGTTCTATTGTCAAAAACTATCATCACACTTCTATAATCACAGATTTCGCCAAGACTAGACTGTAGACAAATATTAATAAAGATAAACAATATTAATCTATTCTCAATTTGACCACAGACTTTAAGTAATGACAAAAGTTTGACAGTAAATAAAGGGTATACATATATATAAATGCGTGTGTAAGGTTTTATATTGATATTTAATGTAAATAAAATTAGCATTCTGCAGTCCTTCTCTATATTCTCTATAAGTGTGGGAAATTTCATACATCTCTGTCCGCGCAATTTGCGTAAAAAGGGGTACAAAGTTTTTGCTTCACGTATTAAAGTATAGATTTTATTGATTGTTTTATTTTTGGACAACGTTGTTGTTAATTAGTTTCTAATTGACAGATAACGTACAAAACAATAAGCATATTAATTGTTTGAGTACATGTTATCTTTAGTCTATAGCTATGTATATTTAAAACGAATCACCAATGATTAACTGTAATTTTAATGTAACTGCAATTTTAATGTAACTGTAATTTTAATGAAACTTATTTATTGTTCACAGAGTGGTGCGCGCCGCACGGTTAGCTGACACGTTGAGGCCGCACCGAAACGACGAGAAACTACGAAATCATAAAACCAAAGCCTCCAGTCATATCTTTTCTTTCGAAAAAAAAAAAAAAAATTACAAAAAAAATAATAAAAATAATATAAGCACTATTTTTTTAACCTTTTAACGATAAATGTAATCGTAAATAGTATACGCAAAATCCCAAACAGTACAAATTAATTTAAGTCTGAAGCGATTGGTATTTACAATTATAAGGAGGAGCCTTCAAACGAGAAACCACAAGACAAACAACCAACGACCAGTATTTACACGTTCCAAAACTAATAGTAATCGTTAAACGAGTGCACAAGATATTTTATCGATCGTTAATTAACAAAACAAAAAAAAACAAAAAATTTAAATCGATACGAAAACACGAGCGTTTTGTAAAGATCAGCCAAAGATTTTATAAGCCCGTATAAGTATAAGGTATCGCTTATGTTAAAACAAACATAAAGAACATTTATATATATATATATATATAAACGAAGATATTGTGATTAGTTTAAGTGCAAACCGGTGTGCCGTATAACCATTAGTATAGAACCGAGGACCTGAATCCAACGGTGACAGAGTACAAAAAACTAGTTCCAGTTACGAGTGTTCAGTACGAGGATATAGATTAGAGNTAAGTATAAGGTATCGCTTATGTTAAAACAAACATAAAGAACATTTATATATATATATATATATAAACGAAGATATTGTGATTAGTTTAAGTGCAAACCGGTGTGCCGTATAACCATTAGTATAGAACCGAGGACCTGAATCCAACGGTGACAGAGTACAAAAAACTAGTTCCAGTTACGAGTGTTCAGTACGAGGATATAGATTAGAGATATTTTTTTTGTAAGAGATATTGAAGAGTAGCGCGATGAGGCAACGCCGCGACAACACGTGATGAGCGAGACTCTTAGGAGCGAGGCGGGCGCGGACGGCGCGCACCTACCGCCCTTCTCCACCTTCGGAGACATGGCCGACAACGAGCAGCGGATCCTCACCGCCGACGCGCGACTGCTCGACCCCGCCTGGGAGTACTACGAGCGGACCGGTGACACCGTCTCCGTCATCGCCAGCCAGCCGCAGTACCGGCCTTGGGAGTCAATGCCGATCACGGTCAACTCAAAGGATGCGATACTCCGTGCAGGATTCTCTTCGCCTCTAGACTATCAATCCGTCACTTTGCAGCCCATACCTAACAAGCTGCCGTCCTTCCAAAGCCAATTCCAAACGTTTCCAGAAACGACCGTCATACCGGAAACCGGGTTGCCGAGCGTGACTCCGGTGCCGGTGACGGCGAGTCCGACGCCGAGTGCGAGCCCTAGTCATTTAACACAGCTCACGCAACTCACTACCCCGTCGTCTCCGGTTCACCTCACCACCCTGGCTCAAGTGACGCCGTTGTCGACCACGCTGACGACGCTATCGCCGGTAAACGCTACGACATTCCACACTTTGACCGCCGTTAACGCCAGAAGCTATCCCATAGTGCCGGCCCCCTTGCAGGCGAGGGAGCTGGCTCCGGCGGGCCAGGCGTACATCGACGACCGTCACATCCAGCTCTATCAGCCGAATATCGCGACGATTAACGCGTTTCCAGGACAAAATGGAATCTTACATCAGAACGGAGCGCTTTTACATCAAAACGGAAGCTTAATACAAAACATTCAAAGTCCAACGGTCGTTCATGTGTTGAAAAACGAGCCTTTCGATGTTAAGTCACTGCAGGACAAATACACGCCGAACGGACTGCACCATAGCAATTTCCAGAACCCGATGCTGATCGATAACGGTTATGATAAGAAATCGAACGGCTTTGGTAGTGGATCGTCACCGACGAGGTCCGACTTCAGGAAAAAAGAAAGACGGAAAATGCGTGCGAATAGTTCAGAATCAGACTGTTCGAACATGGAGGTCGGGTCGGAGAGCAGCGGGCAGGTCGCCGCTGTCTCCTCTACGGCGGGATTCAAGTCGCCCATGCATGGAGCTCCGCCGATGAACACAGGCCCGATGGAACTGGACGACATATCCAGTGAGAAACAGGTGAGCACTTTTTTTTTGTTGCTTAGTTTGTTGGAAGAGCTCACAGCCCACTTGGTGTTAAGTGGTTACTGGTGCCCATAGACATCCACAGCGTAAATACGCCACCCATCTTGAGGTAAATTTCTAAGGCCTCAAGTATAGTTACAACGGCTGTCCCACCCTTCAAACCGAAACGCATTACTGCTTCACGGCAGAAATAGGCAGGATGGTGGTACCCACCCGCGCGGACTTCAACAGGTCCTACCACCAGTAAGAAAGTTATTTCCCAAAGACTCACAAGTTCACCTCGTGTACATAGATTTAGATTTAGCGTAAATCCATCCTCAAACAATAAAAGGAACAAAGCAAACGTGGAAAGTTCAAAGGCACACAATAAAATCTTGGAACGTCAACTAATCTCCTTCCTGCGAATTGGCGAATTGCGTAAACAAGCCGCGCGGGAATCGCGTAGAGCCGACTCTACATTCGACGAAAGATATGAGAATTCCCAGAATTTTCATTCGGCTCCGCGCCGCTGAAAGTGGATATTCAAGAGCGCCCGAAAAAGAGAAACTTTCCCCGTAATTCCACCTTTTATTATTCGGGGAGCAGTTTTTATTCCCGGCCTCGAGTTTCGAAATGGCCGAACTCTCTGTCTTCGCGGCTATAAATTTAATAGTTAGCCGATTCTCTTGCTTCGCCAATAAATTAACTTCCTCACTCTCTCTCTCGCTCTCGTTTAAAACACAAATTAAACTCGGTCGATTTACGCGTGTCCTGCTTAGAAAATTTTATGACTACCAAATTTAAGACGAATGCTATTAACTGGTAATTATGTGGAGCTACCGAGCTTCAGAACTTAGAGCGTTATTGAGTTGTCTGAATTACGATGGAAAACTTACGAAGGCTTTCATAGCTATGAATTAAATTATACTAGTGGTCCCGCAGAAGTCGAAATTCGACTTTAATCAATTGTATGTTTAAACATTATTATGGTTCTATTGTCAAATACTATTATACTTATATAATATAATCACAGATTTCGTCAAAACTGCACTATACATAAATAATAATAAAGACAAACAATATTCATCTATTCTCAATTTGACTTTAAACACTAACAAAAGTTTGACAATTGACAATAAACAAAGAGTATATTTTTATATGTGTTATGTCAAATACATGGTAATATGTGTAATGTTTTCTTTATTGATTTAATGTATCTTTTATGCATTATTTTTTAAAAACATTAACATTGTGCACTTCTCTTCTATATTCTCTATAAGTGTGGAAAATTTCATACTCCTCCGTCCGCGCAATTTTCGTAAAAAGGGATACAAAGTTTTTGTTTCACGTATTAATACATAGATTTGTATCGTATTCTGAACGAACTAAACTATTTGTTTGTCTTGTGTTTAAGGTATTTCAAAAGATATATTATCGAGCTATATGGATGCTAAGTCGACAAAAACTTACCATTCTTCTAGACGGTTCGATTGTGTACATCATTTTTTTCAAATAAATGTCAACACTTTTGAATCTAATAACGAACACCTTTACAACAGCTGCTAATATCGTGAACTAATAGTCTATTCGTTTATGAAGAACCCTTTTATTAGGTCGAAATAAAAATTTAAATTAAATTTTTCAACAGCTCAATGACATGAAAATTAAAAAAATGAGAACAGGAAATGATTTCAATGATTTTAAATATCGAAATTTAAATCTGACTATGCTACTGAAGATGAATAATAAAAAAATTAAAACGTCTCAATATATTCTTCTGTCATAACAATTTCAAATAATAATAAAAAATACATTTAAAATCGCATCGTTAAATACGATCGTAGTAAAATATAACAGATTACATCGCTAGCTCGTTACGTACACGCGATTGCTAATAAAATTGCAAGCTACATCGTACCGTTATATGACATAAGTAGCGTGCAGCGAATTTCAGTGGGAAGTAAAGAAAAATTTATATCCACTAAACTGTACAGTAATCGAAAAATAATACTCTTATTTTGTGTGAGATTACTACTAAAATCGATTTTATTTAGGTCGATTTTATATATTCTCTAAGTTTGTTTAATTATTTTATACTGACGTACATATGTTAGGATCGCCAGTAATCGCAAAATAATAATCTTATTTTGGTGAGATTACTACTAAAATCGATTTTATTTAGGGCGATTTTATATATTCTCTAAGTTTTTTTTAATATTTTATATTGACGTACATATGTTAGGATCTCCGGTAATCGCAAAATAATAATCATATTTTGTGTGAGATTACTACTAAAATCGATTTTATTTAGGGCGATTTTATATATTCTATAAGTTTTTTTAATTATTTTATACTGACGTACATATGTTAGGATTGCCAGTAATCGCAAAATAATAATCTTATTTTGTGTGAGATTAATACTGAAATCGATTTTATTTACGGCGATTTTATATATTCTCTAAGTTTTTTTAAATATTTTATATTGACGTACATATGTTAGGATCTCCGGTAATCGCAAAATAATAATCTTATTTTGTGTGAGATTAATACTGAAATCGATTTTATTTAGGGCGATTTTATATATTCTTTAAGTTTTTTTTTAATATTTTATATTGACGTACATATGTTAGGATCTCCGGTAATCACAAAATAATAATCTTATTTTGTGTGAGATTATTACTGAAATCGATTTTATTTAGGTCGATATAGTATATTCTCTCAACATAAGCAGAAACAAAAATTAGTCAGGAACTTGGGTCTTTTCGCTTGAAAGCAGACCTCGGTTTTTTTCTCATGGCATTTGGCGGTAGCCATCATACAACGATATTTGAGAGATGCCTGATTCTCGCTTACGACATTTTCAAGATAAGCTTGCAAGTTTTTTAATTATTTTATACTGACGTACGTATGATAGCAGGACCGCCACTCTTTCAAACAAGTTTACCTTACATGACGTCGTCATTATTCAGTAGTACAGTATTCCTTTTTAAATGAAAAAAATTTGTAAGCAATACTTTATTGACAAACTTTAAATTAGGTGTGATATTATGTACAAATAACACGTATCGTTCATAGTAAAAGTAAATTGAATATTATATTTTTACTCTTTCATTTATATGGTACATATATATTATCCATCTTAGTCCTTAAAATTAAATGATAGATCACATTTTCCATTGCAACAATACAAGATCCATTACTCATTACTTGAATGAGTCGAACAGGGAAAATCCATTTCGGTCGCTTCCTAGAAAAAAATAACATCGATCTAAGTGAGCCAGAAGTGACAACTAATATTTAGTTTTATTTTTTTAAATAATCGATTAAAACGTTTTTTTTTACGTGAAGCTTTGGTAAATTCAATTCTAGTATTTTTATTGTTAGATATATTTTTTTACTATTTTTAACCCAAGCAAGATATTCTCTACGATGAAATTATTCATTTTTTATCCAATACACAGTGAAGTTACATATGACGTGAGCGAAACGTAAAATATCAATAGATACACCTGCTAAGCTTATTTCTTATAACGTGTCTATTAAGGCACATTCCAAAGGTTAAATGCAATAACATAGTAAATGCTGCTTCATACATCTGCTGAGCCCGCATACCAAAACACCGCATAAAATAGTAATGTCTTTAGAAGTATGTGTGTCCATAGGATACTTGTTTCACATAACATACACAATTCTATTCAAATTTGTGTTTCAAACTTATAAGTTCGTACAAGAAAAGACATTAAGCAAAATATTTTATACGTATTTCTATATATTTTTTAATTCTTTGTAAAATGATATGGAAACGAAATTACATTAGAATAAAATAAAAAAAGCATTCTTAATTTGAATTTTCGTCAGCTGTTTGTCGAGCGACAATCGCTTGGTTCCGATTACAGACGAAGATAAACGAGTATGCACGAATAAAATTACACCAAATAATTGCGACTCCCTATCCGTATCCCAGCTGCTGCATTTTTTTCTGTAAATGTTTTCATTTATTCCAAAAGCTGTTTTGTAAACTGTAAAATTCTAAACAAACGACCTAACCTATAAATTATGACATTTTAATCATTCTAAATCTATATTAATACGTAAAGCAAAAACTTTGTATCCCTTTTTACAAAAATTGCGCGGACGGAGGAGTATGAAATTTTTCACACTTAAAGAGAATATAGAGAAGAAGTGCACAATGCTAATTTTTTTTTTAATAATGCATAAAAGATACATTAAATCAATAAAGAAAACATTACACACACTACATACCATGTATTTGACGCACACACGCATGCATACTATTTATTGTCAAACTTTTGTTCTTGACGTCTGTTGTCAAATTGAGAATAGATTAAATATTGTTTGTCTTTGTTAATATTTTTTTAGTGTAGTCTTGGCGAAATTGTATAAAATACAATTATAATAATAGTGTACAAACTTACAATTCCAATTAATTATAGTCGAATTTCGACTACTGCGGGACCTCTAGTAAGAACAAACTTCACTTAACTATTTATTAGATGATTCAAAATATTTAGACCAAACAACATAAAATACTGATGTTAAAATGAATTTTATCGCCAGGCATCGCATAAAAGGCAACGGGACTAATCCAGATTGCATCGACTGGATGCCCCGACGGCGCAGAAGCGAGACTCATTATAAATAAACGTTCGCAATCCAACGAAATAATTTGCAGAATTTGCCCAAATATTGGTCTCAGCTCACCATTCATGCTACGTTTGCGCCAATCTTGAACGTTGGACCAACTCAACCGCATTGAGTATGTGAATGAAATTGTACACGCAACCAACGGGAATGAATCTGATAACACGGTACAGTAACGAGTTCGAAAACGAAGGATTTTTTTTTTGTTAAAGACAAGCCACACATTAGTATTCAACTTTTACTGCGAAATAACATAAATGTTTTGTTCGTTCGATTCTCATGACTCAAGAAAATAACATACGAATTTCGTAAAGGCGATTGAAAATTTACGATTGGCGATTGAATTTGAAAATTTACGTTTTTAAAATTGGAATTATTTTAGTTGCTATTATGTAGGAATTATGTTATTTGACGTCATTAAATTTTAATACTTACAATGTCAGAATTTAAGTTCGAATTAGCAGGACACGCACTGTAGGATTGTTTTCCAATTCAAGTACACTAAGAAAGCGGTTCCCGTAAATACGTTACGGATACGATTTCCATACTAAATTCGATACATTAGATTACCATACGTTTCCAGATAAACGAGGTCTACATTACGTTAGGCTTTGTCGTAACATTCATACATTTTTTTATGTCTACGTCAGTGAAAATTGGAGAAAATGCCTTTATTTCTTTCTATTCTCCCACAATTTGCACATATTTATACGTGAATTCATAAAAAAAAGCGTTTACAACCAAAATTAATATGAGAAAATCGTCATTTCTTTTTAATGATAAACAGAAAAATTCTCTGAAGCAAAATTCGTTAAAACAAAAACAAAAATTTGGGCTTCGAATAAAGAGATTAAAAATTCCAGACGTAAATCAACGGTAATGCATTCCACAGACGAAAAAGAAGAGGAAACGTTGCGGAGAGTGCATCGGCTGTCAGCGCAAGGACAACTGCGGCGACTGCGCGCCCTGTCGCAACGACAAGTCCCATCAAATATGCAAGCAGCGTCGATGCGAGAAGTTGACAGAGAAGAAGGTGAGTGGATTCCGCTTTTGTTTCAAATTTGTTCTTAATTTAAATCTAACATTTGTTGAGTCTCTATATCGGGCAAGGATTAATAAGACACGTGTTCAGTCTGGCCGTCTGGTGTAGTGGTAAGTGACATGGTCACTACACAAGGGGGTCGCGGGTTCGAATCCCGCCAAGGGAAGATATTTGTATGATAAATATAAATGTCTTTTCCAGGGTTATGGATGTATATTAAATATATGTATGTATATAATAAAAATCTTACATTTATTTCCGTTATCTTGTACCTGAAACACAAGTTCTTTACGAACTTATCACGGGACCAGTTAACGTGGTGTGATTGTTAGTAAATATTTATTATTATTTATTATTATATACACTTAAGTGACTAAAGTATATTGGGATTACAACCTAACGTGCTATCGACAGCCCGACAATCCCGAGACTGACGTAGCATCATTGCATCATAATTATCGCCAACACATACATATAACTATTAGTTGCTATGGAGACATTTGTGGTCCCTACACATTCCTTCTTTAGGTAACTAGCTACAGCCATGCTTGCTAATAGCATGGATGTTGAAGGATTTTAGAAGCAAACCCGCCAATGATGACCGGTGTAATCGTAACTATGTGAGATAATGCGTAAGGTAATAACGTTGTAATAACGTAAGGTAATGCGACTATAACGGGTCTTAAGTTCTCTGACAAGAACAATAAGAAAATGAACACGTATAAGAACATTCAAATCGTCAAAATGAATTTAAATATTTACCGTTAGTCGCGCGTCTTCTAAGTTTGTTTAAGTAGATACCACTAAAGAAAGCCAGGCTCCCCGATCTGCGCTGGTTCTGATCTTGTAGGCATCCCGGGGCTTGAGTGGGGGCGTCGGGCAGTCCACTGACCTAGAGGGCCCATGGGCTTAAAGCTCATGAGGTCCAAGACTTCTTACCATTAAGAGTAACGGATATTCCTTCAAGCTGGAATTCACTATTGTTATCCTGTAGAAGTAGTCAAGACTTATTTACCAGTAAGGCCGCATCATCATCATCAACAGCCCATAGTCGTATTGCTGGACATAGTCCTCTCCCAATCCACACCACTGAGCCCACATAACGTCCCCGATCGAGGAACTAGGGAATGAACTACAAATTTCCTTACCTCAGTACTTGTGATCCCGGACAGACCAATAACTCGATAATTTCAAGGATCTTTTATGGCCCCTGAAATCAACGCTTGCACGAATTTCACAAAAATATTAGATAGCATCTTATGTTTATCTAGGTCTGGTTAGCCAGCACCTAAGATGTCCTCTCTTATCTTTGTTAGGCCCTCATATTAAAAAGTCTTTAAAGCATAAATTTTACCTCCTCAATGCAGTCAAAATTTTGATTTACGTTTTCATGTCATCATCAGGATTGTCGCCCCCTCTTCATTACATAAGTACTCTGTATTTTAGCACCATACGTTTTTTCAAACACAGTTCATATACACGTTTTTTTTTTACCGCAATACCATCGTTTAAATATATTCCACATTAATTTTGGATTTACCATAAAGGAATTTTAAATTTCTAAGATGGCCGCCAGCGACGCAGTTTCACGACTGATGTTTGTTGACCGCGTTTTTTTTATAATACGTATCATTCACAAAATCTCAATTCACATGGTGGTCGATTCTAAAATGTTTTATACATAGTCTGAATGGTGATCTGTGAGTAAAAACTTGTCGAGCCGACTTTTCTGATGACGCAAATAAGCTCAGCCAGTGACGATATTTGCATGCATGTTTCGTTTTGTTCTGTTGGAAACTTGTTTCCGTTCTGGTAACACTGAAAAACGCTTACTATGATTCTGCCTTGATAATTACATTTAATTTAATTAGTAGAATTTAGGATGTAGATTGAAATTAAGCAAAACGAAAGTTTTCTTTTTATCTCTATTCTCGTAGACAAATTACTTAGATTATTATTATTAGACAATATTTATTAAATAATTATTATTAATTAGACAATATTTGATCAAAATATTGAAATTCCAAGGACAATCTAACTTCGATCAAAATGTATTCTCTTTCTGTTCTATTGCTTCATTAAATATTGATAGACGTTACATGGCTTTGTGCACTAAAAATTATGTAGGTACTTAAGCTAAATGTATAATCAAGATTATGAGTTTTGTTGTTTGTTTTAAATAACCTCCACAAAATTATGTATTTACAAATCATTAAACCGGTACATCATATATCATCATCAGCCTGTATCTATCCACTGCTGGATGTAGGCCTCTCCCATAGTCCGCCACAATGAACGATCCTCCGCCTTCCGCATCCAATCTCTCCCAGCATATCGCCGCAAGTCATCGGTCCAACGGGCAGGGGGACGCCCAACGCTGCGCTTACCGGTACGCGGTCTCCAGTCCAGAACACGTCTGCTCCATCGGCCATCGGTTNTCCCAGCATATCGCCGCAAGTCATCGGTCCAACGGGCAGGGGGACGCCCAACGCTGCGCTTACCGGTACGCGGTCTCCAGTCCAGAACACGTCTGCTCCATCGGCCATCGGTTCTGCGACACGTATGTCCAGCCCATTGCCATTTCAGCTTGCTAATCTTTAGGGCTATGTCGGTTACTTTGGTTCTTTGACGGATTTCCTTATTTCTAAGTCGATCCATCAAAGAAACTCCGAGCATACACCTTTCCATAGCACGCTGAGCGACTTTGAACTTACGGACTAGACCTACGGTCAATGTCCACGTTTCGGCGCCATATGTCATGACCGGCAGCACGCAAGCGTTGAAGACTTTTGTTTTTAGGCATTGCGGGATTCCTGAGTTCAAGATATGACGGAGTTTTCCATACGCATATCATATATCACCGTTGGTTAATTCGATCCTGAACTAAAATAATTCAAATAACCCGCGGCCGACCGCAGATTCGGAACAAAATCCAACAAAATTCATAGTTTAAGAATCCATTTATAATATTAGAGGATGCGGACTTTTTAAAATGTAACTAGACTAAAAAATGAATTTAAATGATAGCAAATATTGAACACTTTAAACAGGAATATCTTACATATCCGGTCGTGGGTTTTGTTTATTTTTCTTCAATGAATTAAATAGGTCACGGCCTACTTACAATAGATTGTGTCCTCAAAAATTATATTATAATGTTTTTATTCATTTTTATGTATGTACGTGTAGTTTTGCGAAATCTATACTTATACACAAAATCTATTTGTTATTTTTTTTATATAGTTCTACCGATCAAAACATAGCTTGAGAATTTCGGCAGTAAAATGAAAAATTGTAACTAAAAATATTAATATTTATAACATGTTCATAATCGTTATAGGCTAAGAGATAAGACCGTAAAACGTACTCGTAATAAGCGATGCGACTATGCTAATGCTCTAACTCCGCTTGTGTCAATTTTTCTGCGGAAATACGTACCTACCACGGGTTGATTAGGAGAAACTATGTCGCGTCCAAAAATATATAATGCCAATATACTTCTCGAATTTACCTATTTACTGGTTGTAGGGCGTATCGTAACCTAACCTCGACCGAGAAGCTGTCATATCTTCTGACTTTCACACTTTGACTGTCATATAGGTCAGCAGTGCCCTACGTGGCGTAGTGAAGTATTTTTTTTTAATGCTTAGATGGGTGGACGAGCTCACAGCCCACCTGGTGTTGAGTGGTCACTGGAGCCCATAGACATCCACAACGCGACCCGCCTTAAGATATAAGTTCTAAGGTCTCAGTATAGTTTCAACGGCTACCCCACCCTTCAAACCGAAACGCATTGCTCCTTCACGGTAGAAAATAGGCGAGGTGGTGATACCTACCCGTGCGGACTCACAAGAGGTCCTACCACCAGTAAAGTAAGTAATGAAGTAATGAAATAATATGGGTGAACTATATGGCAGTCAACGTGTTAAGGACGGTTCCGCTGTCGTAGATTACACTGGACAGAAAAATACTTACCATTTTAATTCTTTTCGTAATTAATGTAGAAACGTCACACAAAACAATGCATTAAAATGTTTTAAAAAAGCTTTTCATCGCCACTTGAATATTTGAGTCCGAATTCCAAAAGTAAAAAGACAAAGACGAATGATTACCATAAAATAGCAATAAAAAATATAACAGCAAAATTAATAGCCCGTGAAAAGATGGTTCGCACTGTAGTACTTTTGACTCGGATACGTAATATAAAGATATCTGCATATAGATTAAGCTGGCCTGAAAATACCAAACAGGAAATAAATAAACTGTAAATACTAAAATAAGTATTAATAAATAATCAGTAAAATGTCATTGATCTCATTTAAACTCAACTAAACCAAATTGTAAGAGTAGATGCAATAAAATATTGGCGAGAAACGTGAAGGAAACTAGACTCGTACTAAGTTACAGAAAAAAGAAAATATAGCTTTTAATTTTATTTTCTACCAAACTAAACTAGACATTAAAATACTGGCAACATTGAACGCACCGGCAACCAAAAAAACTTTATCCAATGAAAGTGCGAGGCGTTTCTCTTTCTCGACTTAATTTACGATTATAAGTTACCGCCTGCGAAGTAACTTGGGCAAATTAGTTTTAAAAGAAGCATCGTAAAGCTTTTCAGGGAGAATGGGCCCTTGTTCGGTCCAGGAATTACGTTTATTTAGGACCCACTTTGAATAAGTACTAAAAATTAGACGCCGGTAATGAGACGCTTAACGTCCCTTTGATGTTTTCACTTAAAAACCTGACATTATCATTCTTGTCTTACGTATATAAGATCTGAATTGATTTTATTTATATCTTTATTACTTAACTGAGAAACGTTGTACCCACGTAACCACTAAAAATATTCTTTTAAATCTCAGAATATCAAAACAACAACGTGTCTTTAATTAAAAAAAAAAACACAAAAAAAGAAACATTACATTTTTATCGAATCAAAGATTCAGCTGTCTTTCATACTGCACCTTTGTATGTTCACCGGTTACAGT